CATCCTTGTCTTGTTCCAGTTTTCAGGGGAAACGGTTCCAATTTTTGTCCATTTAGGAGTATGCTGGCTGTGGGTTTCTTGTAGATGGCTTTTACTATTTTGAGGTATGTTCCCTGTATGCCTAGATGTTTGAGGGTTTTTTATCAAGAAGGGGTGCTGGATTTTATCAAAAGCTTTTTCTGCATCTAATGATATAATCATGTAGTTTTTGTTTTGACATCTGTTGATGTATTTAATTACATTTATGGTTTTACGAATGTTGAACCAGCCTTGAGGATGCTTGTTTCTTTTATGATGGGTGCTGGTGTGTAAGTTGTGTGAACTGTTTTTAAATTGACTCTTAAATTACAAGTCTTTGTAGAAATACCCTATAAAAGGCTTTAAGTAATTCAACAGTGGGTGAAGTCAGTTCATATAGTACACTGTCATTATGAAGGATGGCCTGATCTTGCAGTAGATTACCAAACCCTTAGGGCAGAGTTGCCTGCATCTCATTAATGATTTCAGAATAATTGTGCTGCTGTCAGGATGTTGTGTGGTTTTGAGTATGTAATATTTATCCCTTTGTGTTGTAATTTTAAAGGTAGTGAGTCATATTTTTGGCTGATTCTTTCTTTTTTTTTTTGAGTTGGAGTCTCACTCTGTCACTCAGGTTGGAGTGTACTGCCATTGTCACAGCTCACTGCAACCTCCTGGGCTCAAGCAATCCCTCCACCAATTAGTTGGGACTATAGGCACGTGCCACCACACCTGGCTATTTTTTTTATTTATTGTAGAGCCGAGGTCTTGATATTGCCCAGGCTAGTCTTGAATCCCTGGGCTCAGGCAGTCCTCTTGCCTCAGCCTCCCAAGGTGCTGGGATTGTAGAAGTGAGCCACTGTGCCTGTCTTTTTGGCCAATTCTATGTCATATAAAATTTAAAATTTTGAAAATTAACTTGATATGGTTCATATTCTAGGAAAATATACTCCCTGGATTTTCTTGAAACATATCTACCTTCTTATAGGAGTTTATATTACTGACTTCTTGTGACTTCTTTCACCATCTCTTTTGTAAGAGACACAGCAGGCCATTCGAGGGGCATCTTTTTTTTTGTTTTTTACTTCTAAAAGCACTTAAGATAATCTTACCATACAGAGAATATTTGTAAATCAAGAAAAAGAATAATAGTCCAGTAGAAAAAAATAGGCACTTTGCAAAAAAGACTGACCATGGGCTCTTAAACCAGATGTACATGAGAGGCGAAGAGTGCAGACCCAGACTGATGACCTGCGTTCACATCCTGACTCTGCCACTTAATGAGTTTGAGCGAATCCTTTTTTTTTTTGATTTGGAGTTTCACTCTGTCATCCAGGCTGGAGTACAGTGGCACTCTCATGGCCACTGCAGCCTCGACCTGCTGGGCTCAGGTGATCCTTGTGCCTTAACCTTACAGGTAGCTGGAACCATAGCATGTGCCACCACACCCAGTTGATTTTTTGATTTATTATAGAGACACTCCTGAGCTCAGGTAATCCTCTCGGCTGTGCCTCTTGAAGTGCTGGGATTACAGGCATGAGCCACTGTGCCTGGTCTGAGCAAATTCTTAAAATCTCTTTGTTTCCCTATCCTCCTTGGTAAAGAGAGGATTAAATTAACTAACAAATGTAAAACTATTTTGAACCATACTTGGCACATGGTGCTCAGTAAATCGTTATCATCGAAATCATTCTGATTATTATTTTTTTTAATGATGCACAATTCCACTCATCATAGGAGAAATGCCAGTTTAAACACCAAGGGCCAGGTACAGTGTGGCTCATGCCTGTAATCCCAGCACTTTGGGATGCTGAGAGGAGAATTGCTTGAGCCCAGGAGTTCAAGACCAGCTTGGGCAACATAACCAGGCCTTGGCTCTACTACACACACACAAAAAAAAAAAATAAAAAAAATGAGCTGGGCATGGTGTTGCATACCTCTAGTCCCAGCTACTTGGGGGGGCTGAGGCAGAAGAATTGCCTGAGCCCAAGAGGTTGAGGCTACAGTGAGGTGTGATCATGCCACTACCCTCCGGCCTGGGTGACAGAGTGAGTGCCAGTTCAAAACAAAAAACAGAAAACTGAGATACTATGATAATACACTGTGTGGAAAGGGTGTGAGTAAGAAGTACTATCCTACATTGGGGCAATTTTATATATAGGTACTATTTGAAGTAACTATTAAAGGTAAAATAACTATTAGACTTTGACCTAGCAATTCCATTTTTATTCGAGTAGTCTGGCTGTTACAGGGAGCAGCCTCAATTTGATGATGTTTAATCCTGATCTTGTGGGATGATACTTGGGACTGATAGCAGGCACCTGATCCTGCTGTTGTCTAAGTTGGTGCTGCTGGGGCATGTATCTCTGGATAGTGGGAACGGAGACCTTGACTAAGTATGTTCCAGCCCCAGGGTTCCCTCTGCATGTACTGTTGGAGGTGCTGGAGCCAGAAAGAACTTGAACCTTGATCCTGTCTTTCTTGGCTATTTTTAGAGGTCTTAAGAAGAGGGTGAATGGGAAGCATGTGGGGAACACATAAGCAAGACACACAACTAGTTCTAGCAAGTTGTCCTCTTGTTCCAGGAAGAGACCCAGGTTTGAAGGTGGAGGAAGGATTGGACACATTGCTGGGAAAAGTGAGTGATCCATTTAACCAAAAGTAGTTCATTTATTCTGGAGTTAGCTTTTGTAATAGGCCTTCTTTTTTTTTTAATTAGTGGTTATCTCATTTTTTCTTAGAATCCTTTTTTTTTTGTTTCAGCAGAAATGTCGACTTATTTATAGGAATTGCTTGAAGCCAGAGTCATGGTGGATGTAGGAAAGTGGCCAATCTTCACTCTGCTCTCCCCTCAAGAAATTGCATCTATTCGGAAAGCATGTGTCTTTGGTACCTCGGCCAATGAAGCACTGTACGTTACTGACAATGATGAGGTAAGAATCTTTTAAAACCTAGAGTTTAGTTTTAGGGCTTCTTTTGGGGTTGGTCTTCAAAGAATGCAGTTTGAAGATGGAGAAAAGATGAGGGATTGAGAGAACTTGAAGCTCAAGAAGACCATGTCTTTGATGCAGTTTTTCTCTTCTTTCAGTTTCTTCATTTAATATGCCTCTATCCCATTGTACTCTTTCATACATGCAAACATTCCAAGTAATGTCAGCAAGGTTGAATTTTTCCTAACGACCTTATCAGTCTCCTTTTACCTACTGAGCTCTCTAATTGAACTTGAGGTGTCCTATTCAGAGAAAGGAGCTTTTATTATAACTGTAGGCCAAAAGACTCAGACAAAGCTATTTGTTTTCTAGGTCTTTGTATTTGGACTGAACTATAGTAACTGTCTAGGAACTGGAGATAACCAGAGTACGCTTGTACCCAAAAAGCTAGAAGCCTTATGCGGAAAGAAGATTAAAAGCCTTAGCTACGGGAGTGGACCACATGTTCTTCTCAGCACTGAAGGTAAAGAGGGGACAGATCTAGGGGACAGATTTGTAGGAAATCAGGCAGTTAATTCTAAACTAAAGGGAGCTAGGGATATACCAAATAATGAAGTTTGGATTGTTTGGTTCTATTTTTTTTTTTTTTTGATTTGGAGTCTCACTCTGTCACCCAGACTGGAGTGCAGTGGCCACTCCTGGCCACCGCAACCTCGACCTGCTGGGCTCCGGCGATCCTTCTGCCTCAGCCTTCCAAGTAGCTGGAACTACAGGCATGCGCTACCACGCCCGGCTAATTTTTTGATTTATCGGAGAGATGAGGTCCCACCAAGTTGCCCAGGCAATCCACTCACCTCAGCCTCCCAGAGCGTGGGATTACAGGCTGAGCCACTGAGCCCGGCTGATTGTTTGGTTCTTAATTTCTGAGGGAAAGTTCACAAAGCGAGGTAAAAATTAAACATTTCAGGCTAATTCTGTAATAGCCATAGTGTGTCTTGCAAGGTAGGTGGACTTTGAAATTTTAGACTACTTAAGTAAAGCTGTTGCAGATTAGATACAGCAGTCAAAGTGGTCCTTCCAGCCTAATTGTTCTGGGGATTTGTGGCTACAAGGACAACTTTGAGGGTTCTCTTGGTACATTTTTATAAACACAGATACTACTGTTTTTCCTTTCTTTGTGTAGTTGTGAATCTTGAATGGAGAAGTCTTAGTTTATTCCCTGGCATTCAGTGGGTGCCATGTTGAAAGAACAGGGATGCGGGTGGATGGATTCTTGTCCTTTTTCTCTGCCTCTTCAAGATCACTAAATGAGAGTAGGCATTTCTCTTTGGTGATTTATCTGCACTGTGGGCAACCAGCACCCTCTGAAAGTTTGTCACGTGTAACCTAGATACTTCCTTTCATATTTTGGCGTGTTTGCAGAGGTCCTCAGCTTTTTGTTGGATAATCCGCCAGGGCGGCATTTGGGAGATGGTTTGCATTCTTACCTTTCTGTGTCTAAACTGGGGTGCCATAGCTTCCTTAGGTGCCGTCATTGATCTTAGTATCTAGCTTTTTAGTTGCCTGGAACTCATCTGAATCCACTCCCAGTTCTCTGTATCTTTCTCAAGTTATAAAATCCAGATCTGAATGTGATCGTGTGGTATGAGCCTTACTGGAGTTGAGCACGATGAAGTGATTATGTTGCTTTTGTGAGATTTTGTCTAATCATGGCTTTCGGCATCACACTGGTTCTTCCAGACAGTTACTTCATTACTAACTGGTTCAGCTTATTATCCATTGTGACCTAAGGATTTAATTTTTTCCTAACACACATCAAATTTAACTAGTCCTTGATTTTTGACCATAAAATACTGAGGTAGGTTTTTTTTTTTAGAGCAAACATATAAAACATATACATTCAGATTCTTGACTTTCTTCAAAGTAGTGACCTTTGGAAACTATAGCTGTTTTTTTAGAATTATATTCAAAGTCCAGGTCATACAGTTTTAAGTATCTTGAGTGGGCATGCCTTAGTCCCAGCTACTTGGGAGGCTGAGGTGGGAGCACCACTTGAGCCCAGGATTTGAGACCAGCCTGAGTGGCAACAAGAAAAAAATTGAGCATTACACTTCAGATATAAAGAAATAAATAACTCTTTGTGGGAATATCTTTCTTTAATTCAATTTTGATTTTATAAATACATTTTACACAATATACATTAGGCATGCTATACATTATGTGCCATAGTATGCCTAATGCATATACTCATGTGTGTTATATATATATTACAAACAATCAGATGATTTTAAAACAATTTAATGCTTTAAACTGTCAAATAGTATCAAATTTTTGGTGAAAAATAGAAGCGCCTCTACCTTTACCCTTCACCCTCTTAGTAATTCTTTAGAAGGAACCACTTTTTTTTTTTTTTTTTTTTTTGAGTTGGAGTCTCACTGTTGTCACCCAGGCTGGAGTGCAGTGGCATGCTCATGGTCATTGCAGCCTTGACCTGCTGGGCTCAGGCAGTCCTTCCGCCTCAGCCTTCCAAGTAGCTGGACCTACAGATGCACACGCCACCATGTCTAGCTAGTTTTTGTGATTTATTGTAGAGATGAGATCTTACCAAGTTGCCCAGGCTGGTCTCGAACCCCCAGGCTCAGGCAGTCATCTTGCCTGGGCCTCCCAAAGTGCTGAGATTACAGGCTGAGCCACTGCTCCCAGCCAGAAGGAACCACTTTTAACTTTTTCAGATGTTTTTTCTGGTGTTTAATCTCATACTTTTATTTTTTGAGTTGGGGTCTCACTCTGTTGCCAAGGCTGAAGTGCAATATCACAGTCATAGTTCACTGTAGCCTCCAGCTCCTAGACTCATGAGATCCTCCTGTCTCAGCCTCTCCAGTGGCTGGAACTACAGGCTTGTGACAGCTAGTTTTAAAAATTTTTTTTGTAGAGATGAGATCTTGCAGTGTCCAGGCTGGTCTCGAACTCCTGGGCTCAAGTGATTCTCCCATTTTGTCCTCCCAAAGTGCTAGGATTATATCTATGAGCCACTGTGCCTAGCCTTTTGTTTTTCATTTTTATTTTTTGAGTCAGAGTCTCACTCTGACCCCCAGGCTGAAGTAAAGTGGCACGCTCACAGCTACCGCAGCCTCGATCTGCCAGGTTCAGACGATCCTTCTGCCTCAGCCTTCCAAGTAGTTGGAACTATAGGCGTGCACCACCACATCTGGCTAATTTTTTGATTTAGTGTAGAGACGAGGTCTTGCCGAGTTGCCCAGGATGATATCACCTTAGCCTCCCAAAGTGCTGGGATTATAGGCATGCCCAGCTTCCTAGCCTACTTTTTTTCTTTTTTTTTTTTGAGTTGGAGTCTCACTCTGTCACCCAGACTGGAGTGCAGTGGCTGCTCCCGGCCACCGCAGCCTCAACCTGCTGGGCTCCGGCAATCCTTCTGCCTCAGGCTTCCAAGTAGCTGGAACTACAGGTGCGTGCTACTACACCCAGCTAATTTTTGATTTATTGTAGAGATGAGGTCTCACCAAGTTGCCCAGGTGGGTCTTGAACCTGCGGGCTCAGGCAATCCACTTACCTCGGCCTCCCAAAGTGCTGGGATTACAGGCTGAGCCACCGAGCCCGGCCCCTAGCCTACTTTTAAAGTAACATACTTATACTTCTATTTCTGAATTTTCTATTTGTGCACCACCATGCCCCGCTAACTTTTAAAATATTTTGTAGAGATGGTATCTCATTATATTGCCCAGACTAGTCTCAAACTACCAGGCTCAAGTGATTGTCTCACCTTGGCCTCCCAAAGTGCTAGGATTACAAGCGTAAGCTACCACACCTGGCCTACTTTTAAAATAACATACTTCTGTTTCTGAATTTTCTATTTTAGATATTATTCTTGGACTTTTGGTAATGGCAGGTAGAACTGAACTTTTTTCTCCCCACCTTCCTTCTCCTTTCAATATGGTGATAGCACCATTTTGGTTTAATCAGTACTCAGTATTTACATTATTAGGACCATGTAAGTGTTATTTATAATTAAGCCACCTCCTTTCTTGTACAACTGTTTGTTTTTCTCGTGTTGATATTTGCCTCAAGTTTTTTTTTCATTTGCCTTTCTCTACATATATCATTAACATATGCCCAGACTTTTCTACAGAACAGCACATCACTTCTCAGCATGACTAAGCACAGCAGGTAATCTCTGTCCCTAGCTCCAATCTGGACTAGTCACTCTGTAGGCCTGTGCGCGGCTGTCAGCTTAGAATTTACTTCATCGTCATCCTCAGAAGTCTCTTCACTTTTTGAATCTCTTTTTGGGTTTCCTATTTTTTGTGTCCTATTTGTCCTCCTTGGATTATACCCTCATTTGTGTGAAACATGGTCTCTAATAGCTTCCCAACGAAGGAATGTGAAAGAAGTCTTTGAGGCCCTGTCCTAAAATGACTTTATTCTACCCTTGATAATGTCAATCAGTGGGCTTAGAATTCTAGGGGGGAATCATATTTCCTCAGGATTTTGAAGTCATATCACCTTTCAAGTTTCAGGGATGCTACTGAGAGACTGATGCCATTCTAACTTTTGCTATTTTGTATATAACTGTTTCTTTCCTCTTTGGAAGAGTTAAGGATCTTTTCTTTATTCTAAGTGTTCTGAAATAATCATGACGACTCTGGTGTGGGTAATTTTTAATTTGTATTATTGGTCATTCTATAGGCCCTTTAATCTAGAAATTCCTTCATTTCTAGAAAATTTTCTTGTAATATTTCATGGATAATTTTTCTTCTTTGTTTTTTCTGTTCTTTGCTTTTTATAATTTTTCTTAGAAGGAAGTTAAATATTTTGGACTGATTATCTTAATTTTTAAAAAACGTTCTTTCCCATCTATGTTCTAGGAAAGTTTTTCAATTTTATCTTATAGCCCTTAATGTCAAATTTTTTTTTTTTTTGAGTTGGAGTCTCACTCTGTCGCTCAGAATGGAGTGCAGTGGCACGCTCCCGGCCACCGCAGCCTTGACCTGCTGGGCTCCTGCGATCCTTCCACCTCAACCTTCCAAGTAGCTGGAACTACAGCCACGCGCTACCACAACCGGCTAATTTTTTGATTTATTGTAGAGATGAGGTCTCGCCAAGTTGCCCAGGTGGGTCTGGAACTCGCGGGCTCAAGCAATCCACTCGCCTCAGCCTCCCAAAGCGTGGGATTACAGGCTGAGCCACCGAGCCTGGCTTTGGATGTTTATTTCTTTTCTTTTTTTTTTTTTTTTGAGTTGGAGTCTCACTCTGTCACCCAGACTGACACCACTCACTCTGTCACCTCGACCTACTGGGCTCCGGCGATCCTTCCGCCTCAGCCTTCCAAGCAGCTGGAACTACAGGTGCGCGCGACCACGCCTGGCTCATGGATGTTTATTTCTTAATGCCAAGTTATATACTACTTAGATTTTAAAATAAGCATATTTAATATGTATCTATGGCTGTTTAAAAATATACCATTTATTAATTTGGCATATATTTTTGTTTATATTAATATTTACT